GAGTTACCCAAACCCAACATCACAAGCAACAACTCGGACCCCGTGGAGAACGTGGATTCTGTAGTATTAACGTGTGAACCTCAGACTCAGAACACAAGCTACCTGTGGTCAGTAAACAGTAAGAGCCTCCCGGACAGCGCCAGGCTGGAGCTGTCCCTGGACAACAGGACTCTCACTTTACATGGTGTCACAAGGAATGACACAGGACCTTATGAGTGTGAAACCTGGAACCCAGTCAGTGCCGGTCATAGTGACCCATTCACCCTGAATGTTCTCTGTGAGTAACTTGTATTCCTACATGGCCCAGGCTGCCAGCCCGAATCCACGCTGCCAGAGGTCAGGCCACATCTGTCCTTCTGGGGTCTGAGTACCTGACTCTCACCTAGACACCCAGGCTGGCCATGGCTTCTTATCTCAGGCAAACCTGGGAAGGCCCAGCCTAAGCCAAGACTAGGAGGGAACAGGCTGCTCCTCCCTGGGAGGGTCGATAGCCTATGAGGGGGAAACAAGTTAATATCTCAGACTCAGGCTCAGTGAACACAGGGGGCTTATGGTTGGGACTATTTATTTATTTTTAAATTTTTATTTATTTTGAGAGAGAGTACATGAGCATTAGTGAGGTAGGGTCAGAGGGAGAAGGAGAGAGAATCCCAAGCAGGCCCCACCCTAACAGCACGGAGCCCTGACATGGGGCTCCATCCCACAAACCATGAGATCATGACCTGAGCTGAAACCAAGAGTAGGATGCTTAACTGACTGAGCCACCCAGGTGCCCTGGTTGGGACTTTCTAAAACAGGGTTATGACCTAGCTCAGAGGGATACTGTGGACATTATACAGACGAGGATCTTCCCCTTCCCTTGGATTACATCACGTGTGGCTTTATTCTGTTTGCTCCAGATGGCCCGGATGCCCCCACCATTTCCCCCACAGACTCCTATTACCGTCCAGGGGCAAACCTCAGTCTCTCCTGCCACTCAGCCTCTAACCCGCCTGCACAGTATTCTTGGCTTATCAATGGGAGCCCCCAGCCATCCTCACAGGAGCTCTTTATCCCCAACATCACTGTGAATGATACTGGATCCTATGCCTGCCTTGTTTATAACCCTGGCACTCGCCTCAATAAGTTCACGGTCAAGACTATCACAGTCTCTGGTAAGTGGATCCCTGAAGCATTTACATCAAGCACTGTGGTGGAGATCTTCCTGGTTTCCAGAAAAGAGCCTAGAAGAAGTTATTTTGCATTTGCTTGTGACTCAGATCTGTCCTTGAACTCTCCCATCACATGTCTGCAGATGCTTCCTCCCTGTGCTGTCTGATTTCTCATGGCAGATCTTGAGATCTGAGATCTGAGATCTCCCAGTCCAGTCTGCAGTGTGGGGAGGGGATTCTGTCAGCTCCCAAAACCCCCACACATATAAGGCGCCTTTGCAGGTGGGGAAAAAAGAAGGGTCCTCAGGGTCAAGTTGCTTTTTGTTGTTGTTGAATTGCAGAAGTGTTTTATATATTCTGGATATTAATCTCTTACCAGCTATGATTTGCAAATGTTTTCTTCCAGTCTGTGGGTGCCATCACTTTGTTATTGTTGTTGTTGTTGTTGGTGGTGGTGGTGGTGGTGGTTAGGGAACTTTAGTTGACACACAATGTAACACTAGTTTCATGTGCACAACATAGAGATTGGACAACTCTGTGTTATGCTATGCCTACCACAGTGTAGCTACCATCTGTCACCATGCAATGCTATTAAAATACCATTGACTAGGGGCACCTGGCTGGCTCAGTAGATAGAGTATGTGACTCTTGATCTCGGGGTTGTGAGTTCACGCCCCACATTGGGTGTAGAGCTTATTTAATCTTAAAATCTTTAAAAAATTAAAATAATAAAATGCCATTGACTATATTTCCTATGCTGTCTATTTCCTTCCCGAGTCCTGTTTATTCCTTAGGTGCTACCATCACTTTCTTGATTGTGCCTTTTGGTGCACAGAAGTTTCCTATTTCAATGCAATCCAGTTCATCTGTTTTTTCTTTTGTTGTCTTTGCTTTGGGTGTCACATCTAAGAAATCATCGGGAAATCCAGTTTCAATAAGCTTTTGCTTTATGTTTTCTTCTAAGACTTTCACAGTTTTGACTCTTACGTTTAGATGTTTGATCTGTTTTAAGTTAGTTTTTGTGCATGATGTAAGGTCAGGATCCAACTTCATTCATTTGCATGGGTATCCAGTGTTCCCAAGACCATTTCTTGAATAGAATAGACCATTTCTCCATTGAATGGTCATGACAACCGTACCGAAAATCATTGGACCATATGTATCAGGATTTGTATCTGGGGTGCCTGTTGTATCCCATCGGTCTCTATGTCTATCTATATAGCAGGCCCACATTATTTTGGTGACTGTAGCTTTGTAGTCAGGAAGTAGGAGTCCTCCAACTTTGTTCTTTTTCAAAATAATTTTGGCTATTTGAGGCCCCTGAGATTCCATGTGACTTTTTGGAAATTTCTATTTCTGCAAAATATTTCCTTAAGAATTTAACAGGGGGAGCATCTGACAGACTCAGTACAGTGGATCATGCGACTCTTGATCTCGGGGTTGTATGTCCAAGTCCCACGTTGGGTATAGAGATTCCTTAAAAATAAAATCTTAAAAGAAAAGCATTTGTTACGGATTACATTGAATCTGTGGATCTCTTTGGGTAGTAGTGTCATCTTAACAATATTAAGTCTCATCATCCATGAACATGGGATGTCTTTCCCTTCATTTGTGTCTTCTGTAATTTCTTTCAGCAACGTTTTCTAGATTTCCATGTATACTCTATTGCCTCATTCTTTCATTCCTAACTATTTTATTCTTTTTAATGTTATTGTAAATGAATTTTTTCCTTGATTTTGGGAGGAAGGTATTTTTAGTGTATAGCAACACAATTGATTTTTGCCTGTTGATTTTGTATCCTGCAAGTGTGTTGAAATTGTTTATTAGTTCAACAATTTTTGCAGAATCTTTAGAGTTTTGTACATATAATTTCCGTCATCTACAACCAGACCTCATTGTACTTATTCCTTTCCAATTTGATTGCATTCTATTGTTTTTCTCCTAATTCTTTTGGCCTGGCCTCCTTTCCTCTGTTGAACATGGGTGGTGAAAGAGGCATGTTTATGTACTATCTGATCTTAGAGGAAACACTTTCCGTGTTTCACCATAGAGTATGAGGCTAGCTGGGGGTGTTTCCTATAAGGCCTTTATTCTGTTGCAATCATTTCCTTCTATTTATAAGGGTGCCAGTGTTCTGTATACAGTAACCGCTTCTTTACGGAAGTTTTTCGCCATGAGAGTCAATCCACAGTGGTGGAAGTAAAAGCCTTCTTCAGCCTGAGAAATCCTGTAGATTGAAACTCTTTAATTCCTAAGGTGATGAAGACTCTGGGTGGGCTGCTCTCGTTTCCTAATAAATTATAGCCGTGC